TGCTTTTATCGCAATCCAATCACCTCTCCGATCGTTGTTATTAACAACAATAGAAACAGCAGAAATATCGAGGTTATTGAGCTTCTAATCGTCGCAATTGGATACGACGAATCGCGAGTACAACGACGAACGCGCAGGCTCGTGGAGGGCGCGAACGTCTCGGCCAGAGACGAGACACAGTGAGACGAAACGAAACGGAAGAGCGTTGCTAAATATAATACGTGAAGGCACGCGATTCTCTTACGGTTGGGGACCGCAGAATGGTCATGAACATCCGAAAGTACAAACATCGCAGTCGGTGGTGAATTTCTGTTTTGTTATATCAGTGATACGTTTCCGCTCGGAGAAGTTCGGACGTGCCTGGAATAAGGTGGTGAACGAAACGAGCCGGAGAAAAAATTCTTAGTTCGATTGTGCGATTTTTGCGCGAGTGATTTTACATGTATTTTAGGTATCCTACCGATGTCGTCTCTGTCACGTGGTAACCGGCTGAATTACAGGTAAGCTGCAGTTCCAGCTAATCGGTTAATGGGAGGTGATGTAATATTTGTCGTGTCGAGAGGTGAATCATCTTTATGTGATCCATGGTGGTCGAAAACGACACTGATTATGTACAGAATGATTATATACAGAACTGTTTGTAAAATGACTGAATTATAGAAATTATAGAAATGATTGAAATACTTGTGACAGTTTTATAAATTGACGATGAAAGATTTCCAACAACTTGCATATTCAAGTGTCACATTAAATACTTGTCATATTAAAGAAATAGACTAATAATAATCCTGCTGATTTTTTAAAATATACATGTTTATGTCTATCCAGCACTAGACCTTCTTTCCAGGAGGCAATATAATTACCTATAATTGTATGTTAATACAAAGTGTATTTTAAGATTCACTTTATCTTAAATCGTAAAATAATGACTGATATTACAGTTTTTCCTTGCTTGTGCCTATATTTGTTTAGTAATTTATGTGTCTGTTACAAGCCAAATTAGTGTGATCGGTCGTGTGACTGTTTCCTTTTATTCTTAGACCCTCGTGCACCAAACATATTGACGTATGTACAATTTATATTGCGCGGTTAATTACATTTACTTTCACGAATTACGATCGATAATATTATAATTTTGCTAATATTATTATTATTATTATTAGCAAAATTATTTGTTACTAATATTCTAAAATGTTTCTATCCGGTTAATTATATGCTTGACTTATACTTTGTTATCTTCCTAGCCCTGTAAACGTATCTACATTGTACACTATAACTAAAAAGTTTGGGCACCATATTGCATGTGTTTGCCATACTTTGACTAAGAAATTCTTTCAATTTGAACTTTTTCACTTAGATAAACTTTTAAGCAATTTTCTTGTTAAGAAGAAACAGAAATTTACTTGTACTGAGTTAATTGAAACTTAAAATTAAGTTAAAATTACACGAAAATCGTTGCAAATTCAGAAAAACACCTCGTGATAAGCCATATACTGTTTTGCTTTACAACCTCATTTCAGTACACGGTACACCTTCGTTTTTTCGTTGAAATGCATTTACAAAATTCATCCAAGTATATGGACACGAAAGAGATTTCCATTAATTAGCCACGTGTTGTATGAACAATTATATCGAGTTATGCACTATATCGTTTAGAGTTCGATTTCCGCGCGGTTAGTCACGTATCAAATCCCAATATATCGCATCACTTTCTAGTCCTCGGGACTTTAGTACATTAATATTGAAACTTTTGTTTTCTAAAACGAAAATAAAAAATTGTGAAATTAAGTCTACCATTACTCCCAGAGTAATTACACCGTTTTTGACGTTCGCGATAAACAAGCCTCATTTACAGTTAGACAGTGCTGCTCGCTGCTTTTCAAACGACATTCGAGGATCGTTTGGACAGCCCTTTTCGGTTTAATGGAGTAGGGGAGAAAATTGTTCGTCCAAAGCGTCTTTTATAGAATTCCTCGATCAATAGTCGCGCTCTGTGCCAGTCCGTACAGTTCGTAAATACGACAACCATGTTCAGATTGTGTTTCAACGTGTTCGAGCGTATTATGTGACATAACTACGTAAGAACGTCGCGCCCGGCATGGTATATCGAATTTCATCGTGAAATGTACGATTGCAATTTCACCCATTAATTTGCTGTCGCGCGAAACTCGACCGAATATAAGAATGCCACGTGATGGTTTCATTGCTTTCAACGAACTTATATAATTTGCCACAACCACGTCCGAGCACGTATTCGATAATGAAAAATTGCAGCGCTGAAAAACTTGTGTTTGGTTAAAAAAATATTCGGAATAGAGGAATTCAGAATTTTCGTAGAGGGCAACTTTTGGAGAGGTAAAGTTCTTGATTTATTTTTGTATCGTTTCAAAAATAAAAGTTTTCCTCGCTCATTTTCTTTTTTATCTTTATTCATCTTCTTTATATTTATCATGTTTCCTTTCACGTTAACTTGAGTATGATCGATCGCTGTTGTTTTTAACTTCTATATCGACCAGGAAATTCATTCAGAAAATGAAGTTTCTCGAATGAAGTCCTCCTTCCTTGCAACATTTCACTGCAATGTTTTTAAATATATATTCTTTTTTAACATCGTCAACAACTTTCAAAGCATGATTTATATCGCTACGTGAAAATTATCGCCTCATTATACTAATTGTTTTAAAATGTAACTGTTTAACTTTGTATGCAAATTTGACAATTTTTTAAATTTGTTCGCGCCTCACCTATCTCGAAGCTCACGTTAAGAGATCCACGAGATTATGGATTAGAAAATGGAACTTATGCTGTTTCAAAATTGGCATCTGGAGAAATAAATCAATTAATTTTCTATGTTGAACAGAGATGAATATTCAGAAGCCCGAGGGACTGTTATCAGTAGTTCTACCTACTGAACTCGCGTCTTCGCCCAGTTCACGGCAGCTCATTATAAATCAGGACCAACAGGTGTGTTCGACGTGAACAATATACCTTTTGTCTTCCACCTTTTCCGTTCCTTTGTTCTGTCGCATGCTATATACGATTAACGTGCTTCGTTAATTCAAGATTATTATCCTCTAATTGTTTGGGTCCTTACAACACTTAACAGCTTTCATTAAAATAAATGACATTTATGTAACAGAACCAATATAACCTTTTCATTTAAAAAGTCATTGATGACAGTAAAAAACGATCAACTGTTATTATCATTACTTATTTATTTGAAGTTTGAATAAGTATAAAATAAAATGTTCGTAAATAATTCTTTGTGGGGTGAAATTTTATTAAAATACTTATTTATTACCTAAAATTTGTTTGAAGTTTGAATAAGTATAAAAGCAAATGTTTGCAAATAATTCTTTATGGGATGAAATTTTATTAAAACACTTATTTTTTATTTAAAATTTGTTTGAAGTTTGAATAAGTATAAAAGCAAATGTTTGCAAATAATTCTTTATGGGATGAAATTTTATTAAAACACTTATTTTTTATTTAAAATTTGTTTGAAGTTTGAATAAGTATAAAAGCAAATGTTTGCAAATAATTCTTTATGGGATGAAATTTTATTAAAACACTTATTTTTTATTTAAAATTTGTTTGAAGTTTGAATAAGTATAAAAGCAAATGTTTGCAAATAATTCTTTATGGGATGAAATTTTATTAAAACACTTATTTTTTATTTAAAATTTGTTTGAAGTTTGAATAAGTATAAAAGCAAATGTTTGCAAATAATTCTTTATGGGATGAAATTTTATTAAAACACTTATTTTTTATTTAAAATTTGTTTGAAGTTTGAATAAGTATAAAAGCAAATGTTTGCAAATAATTCTTTATGGGATGAAATTTTATTAAAACACTTATTTTTTATTTAAAATTTGTTTGAAGTTTGAATAAGTATAAAAGCAAATGTTTGCAAATAATTCTTTATGGGATGAAATTTTATTAAAACACTTATTTTTTATTTAAAATTTGTTTGAAGTTTGAATAAGTATAAAAGCAAATGTTTGCAAATAATTCTTTATGGGATGAAATTTTATTAAAACACTTATTTTTTATTTAAAATTTGTTTGAAGTTTGAATAAGTATAAAAGCAAATGTTTGCAAATAATTCTTTATGGGATGAAATTTTATTAAAACACTTATTTTTTATTTAAAATTTGTTTGAAGTTTGAATAAGTACAAAAACAAAATGTTTGCAAATAATTCTTTGTGGGGTGAAATTTTTTTTCAAGACACTCATTCATTACTTAAAACTTGAAGTTACACAAAATTAATATTGTACAAAAATGTTTCACTTGCAATGTAATTTTATACAGGATGAAGAAGCGTCGGATTGCCCATTGTTGACCCCTAGCCCTCCTGGCGCTCAAACGAGCAGTGCCCTGGAATCTGGCGCGATTTTCGTTTCTCTGGAAGGAAATCCCGTGGAATCGATTCCACCGCCAACGCTCGACAACATTAATAAAGAGGATGGACTCAACGAATTCATGAATATAGTGAACAGCTCGAGCAAAGTGCTGAACGATGGTACGTTTTCTTCAATGGACGTTACGTTCACACTCACATGTTTCATAGAATGAATCGCTTTTTACTTTCTTTTATTGCATACAAATTTTCATGGATTTATCGAGGAAATAAATGGTCTTTTAATAAAATTTTATAGATGCAAAGTTTCAAAAAGAAATTTTATAGATGCAAATTTTCGAAAAGAAATTTTATAGATACACAAAATGTTTTAAAAAGAATTTTTATACATACATATGTTCCAAAAAGGAACTTTACGATGTTTCAACAGAAATGGAAATTTGATATCTTTTATATTTTATTTTATTTTTGTAAGAAGGTCCAAATGATCTAACAACCACCTTGCAAGGATTGAGTCAGTATTTCTATCCACACTCAACACGAACAAAATTCGAAGCCATTTTATGGTGCAACGAATCGCGTCCACAAGTCGGTTGTAAAAGAACCTTACGTAATCACACTGCGTCGATATGCACAATGCTCTCAGTCTGACAGTAAAGTACTTTAATAGGATTCAATTTCAATTGTGGCGACGAATTAATCTTAACAAAGACCGGCCTCTCGACGCGTGCTCGACACTGTCGTTAATACAGTTCAATCCAAAGAATGTCGAAACTTAACGAACTGTAACCAGTTTGACCCTTTGTCGAACACCTTTGTTCAGATTTAACAAAGGGATCTTTGGGAAGAGTTAATAGTACTCTGGGGAAAAATTTCACAAGTTTGAAAATTATGGAGATACTTTATTTGATTGATACTGTAATAAGAAAATTATGGGGGTGTAGCAGAAAAACAATTGTCTGAAAGTTAGGAAAGTTAGGTTAGGAAAGGATGATGGAGGCAGATGATGGAGGCTACTTAGACTAATTATAGTAAAACTGAAATATGAAGGCAAATATTTATTGTAATCACTGTTTATAGACTTAAATTACTGAAGTAGTGTCTGGATGACAAGATAAATAATTTGGTATTCGTTGTTTGAATAAAATTAGCAACTGAAGTGCGTTTGACTATTAGTGTCCTTATTGCTACTATGGTAATGCCGGTTACGTTACATTTAGAGTCTAAAAGTTCAGCACATTGATTCATCTATTATGCTTAAACCCACTATTAATTGTCTCGACGATAGAAGAAAATAAAATTTTATTAGACAAAATTGAAAGAGGTCGAATGGTGTCCTCCTAGTGTCATTTTCTTAGTCCTAAAGACCTAGTGAGCTAAAATCTCCAAATAAAAATCCGATATGAATCTTTAAGAATAATTTTTGGGTCTCGCTCGACCCTGCGTTAGCTTTGTACAACGCTATCCAAGAGTTAATTTTGCCAATGTGATTGTACTCGGATAAATCACGAGACCAGTATATATAACGTCGATTGTTGTTGTTTCACCGCTTCATAACAATTGCGAAACATGACTGACTTTTAGTTTTGACAGTCAATAGCACCTCGTGATAAAAGAACGTTAATTATTGTAGAGCCAAGTTCCCGTGATCCAATGGTGGAGTCGACGAGCAGTGGCAGCAGCAGCGACACAAACGGACCTGTTTGTGCACAGTTGTTGACGCAGTTGAACACGGCCTATCAACATCTTGCTCCCGATGCTCAAGCACTGGTAAGCATTTGACAGAAATTGGCACCTGTGGCTAGACAGTGCACAACAATCGAACGTATACTTGGTAGGACGAGTACAGTGAAAAACAATGATGAAGACTGTAGACGTAGATGATGTGATGGTAATACTGATGGTGGATGCTAGTAGTGGAGAAACCAGTGTAAAGTGATACCCTTTTATGGATGTTTGCTTTTTCATTAATAAACGTTTATATTTTTTATCTTTGGGTGACTATAATAACAATTATAAAGCTGGTCAAATTTTATTATATTATTTAATTGATGCACAGAGGGGTAGTAGCGAAAGATACTGAAAGTTTTGAGAATTTTGTCACAGTGAATATGGAGAGGTATGTCTTGTATTGTGAGGCAGATTGTAAGATGCTATGAGTCTTTAAAAAAAAGAAAAAGTAGTTTAAAAAAGAAACTACTTGATTATTTTGCAATTGTGGAGTTAGTCTCCAGTCATATTGTAAAACATTCATTACTTTGTATACAAATGTAAAAATGTTCCTCAAAACTTTCAAAGTGATTTACGTGTCACATCTACTATTATTTCGCTTCTTATCGTTGTACATACTTCAAATTGAATTTGCACTATTGAGGTAGTGATTCATTGGTAACACACGTGACGAGTTATGTTAATTATAATTTTATGTTTACTAAACCGGTATGAGTGGTCGAAGCTTGTACTCGTTTCATTAAGTATACTTCTGGTTGTAATGAATTATTAAATTATTTTCTTCTCGATGAAGTTTGATAATTTTGATACAGTTAAAAACTGGTTTACTTATGTCTTATGTCATTCTTTCTGTCGAAAAATATTTTCGTTGTATAAACGGGTTTACTTGACGGTTTAGTGTCGTATTCGATTTAAGAAAGAATGAACGTGATGAAACATGATGTCGAGCCAGTGAGGGATTAATTATATTACTATGATATATAGATGTACATACATGTATTATATGTTTGTTACTACAAAGCTTTCTGCACATTTATGAATAACATTGTGTGGTAAAATGCTAACAGTTTGTAGTAATTCATGTGTCAGATGATATTAATTATTGCTGTGATTTATATGTAACAGACGAACTATAAATATTAATTTGTATAAGATACTCAGTTTGTTTTCGTTTATTCACTAATACACGTTTTGTTTTGGCCACGGCCGATCACCTATTCTACTTTTGGTGTAAGTGTGTCAAGTTCAATTGCATCTACGCTTTTATTTTTGATACAAGTCATCGTCGCTTCGGTCGCATATATCAAATCGTTCCAACTCTTTATTATGTGCTGGTGTACACTTTTGTTAATTCATTAATTGGAAAATTGCAATTGTTAGATACCAAATTCTCAAATTTCCAAATTCCTACATTTCCAAATTTTTAAATTCTCAAATTCTCATATTTCCAAATTTCCAAATTTCCAAATTTCTAAATTCCCAAATTCCCAAATTTCCAAATTTCCAAATTTCCAAATTTCCAAATTTCCAAATTCCCAAATTTTCAAATTCTCAAATTTTCCAATTTCCTAAGCTCCCAGTTCCTCAACTCCCCAACTCCTCAACTTTCCAATTCTCCAATTTCCCTGTTCCAAAATTCCCCAATTCCAAAATTTCCCAATTCCAAAATTTCCCAATTCCAAAATTTCCCAATTCTAAAATTCTCCAATTCCAAAATTTCCCAATTTCCCAATTTCCCAATTAAAATTCTCCAATTCCAAAATTTCCCAATTTCCCAATTTCCCAATTTCCCAATTCCCCAATTCCACAATTCCCCAATTCCCTTATTCCCCAATTCCTCATTCCCCAATTCCTCATTCCCCAATTCCCCATTTCCCTATTCCACAATCCCCCAATTCCCCTATTCCCCTATTCCCCTATTCCCCTATTCCCCAAATCCCAAATCCCAAATTCCCCAAATCCCAAATTCCCCAAATCCCAAATTTTTCAAATTACTAAATTTCCAAATTTCTACACCCCCAATTCCCAAATCACCGAATTTCCAAATTTCCAATTCCCAAATCCCCAAATTTCCAAATCCCCAATTCCCAAATCCCCAATTCCCAAATCCCCAATTCCCAAATCCCAAATCCCAAATCCCAAATTCCCAAATCCCAAATTCCCAAATCCCAAATTCCCAAATCCCCAACTCCCAAATCCCCAATTCCCAAATCCCCAAATTCCTCAATTTCTAATTTAAAAAATTCTAAATTTCCAACTTTCTCTATGACCTACAGTAGTGAAAGACGCCCAGAGTTGGCAATATAACGAGAGTCTACTGTATTTCACTCCTCCAGACATGACTCTCAAAGTAAATTAAATTAAACCTTCACATAATTATTCTTTCTACCTTCCAACTTCTTTCCATCTCAATAATTGTTTCTTTTTGCCAACATGTAATGTTATTCATACGTTATAATGGTCTTTCATTTATCCTGCGTCGACTGCGTCGAGCATGTATTTCTCAGAAAATATTCCTGTCCGTGTACTTAGGAACGAAAAATAGAAAGTTAAATATTAACTATACTTCTGTTACGTAATTTCTGCTTGCAACACGTGAAATATGAATATCGCAGAAGTTCTTCACGGTGTTAATCGCTTCATTTAAACGAACAATTTATTGTTGCTGCAAATAATGATTCAGCGAAATGTAGTTTAGATTTAAACCGAATATCTTTATGTATTTCGCTGTCGTCTGTTCTTTGATTAATAACCTGTAGTTCCATTTTGAAAAGCAGTTTGCGAACGCTTTAATCAGCATATTTTCATCTGCTTGGCACAAACGAGGAATATCTTGCCAAACATTGCGTGCCGTTTTTGCAATACATCCGATCGGTCATATCTTTCAACTATTAAATTAGTCAAACTATTATCTTCGTTAATTTAACGGCAGGGTAGATTTATTGGTTGTCGGTATTGTCTTCCTTCTTCGGTATTTTAACTAATCTGAATTCGTACACTGATTGCCACATCAAAGATACACAGCATGAGATACTCAATAGACTTTCAATATTAGTAGACTCTCGATATATTACCGCTAAAAGAGTTTCAGCAGTAGCAAGTTTTTAGAATGGTCACTATATTGTTTCAGACATAATATATTTTAATACAGTTTTATTCTCTGTGGTCTGCAAACAGGGACCATTATTTGAAACTCCTAAACTCGGCAATATAACGAGAACCTACTGTATTTGCAATTTTTCTTTCTTTCTAATATCCTGTGGTTATTTGGCTGAAGTAGAGGTTTCACAAGAAATACTGTATTGATCGACTTTTTTAACAAGTTTCTCTTCCTCGAACGTGCTTGCATCTTTTCACGTTCGCCGGTTCTCGATTTCATCACGATTTAGACACGGTCAACTGTATATCACGTCTGCAATAAGGCCTCACGTGCAACTTCTGGCATGCATATCTTCCACGTTTTGTGTTATAAGCATCACACGTGTAAACAGTAGCTAAATTCCTTCCTAACAGGTTTATTTTCGGATTATCAAAGGATTGACGCCTCGGAAATGATCCGTAACAGGATGAAATAGGTACATCAAATTTTAGTCCTCTAAATGTTTTATTTTTACATAATGTACTGGGTGATCAGTATCGCCGTCATTCTTGAAATATTTTGATTGTTCAACAAAAGAAATATTACATACAATTAACTAGTATTTTTATTTTAATAAAACATCATCTATTACATATCACAACACAAGTTCCAAAGTTGAACGATCAAACTGTTCCACAAATAAAAGCAAGAAATGAGGATGTGGACAAAACGATTCGTAAGATTCTAACACGAGACACATGTATATTAACATGCATAAGTTTCATTCAAGCGCTCAACAATGCTTGCCACTTGGTGCCATCTTAAGACGAACTCAACGACACGTCCTTTTGTTCACTAATTCGCCAAGAAAATCTCATTGAATAAGAAACTACAGCTCATCTAATACAAGGATTCATACATTATGGTGGTGGTGTGTTTCCCCGGGACAAAAATGGGCTGATATTACGTCAGCGTTGTATATACCTGTTCGTGTTGCAGAGAACTGTGCCAACCATCGTTGTTATCCATGTTAACTAATCCACCGCTTGCCGCTTTCTAACATCCTTATGAACTTACACTGTAACTGTTTAGTTTTACAATCAGGAGAACGGAGGGAAGCCACCATTGGTTGGGATTCAGCTGGTTGTGCCGAAGCCGTCGAAGGATTATCGTTTCATGAAATGGAACTGGCCGCTCATACGAAAGACGTGCTTCTGGTCGTTAATGTCTTTGCTAGCTGGATGCACGGCACTCGTCATCGGTGTCATCGCCACGATGCCAAGAAAGTGTGTATTCGAATATCTTACAATTATAATAGAACCTCTATTTGTAGATTCTTGTACTTGGTAGTACCTCGAGAATGCTAACTATAGAAATATTCGGATGATTTATCGATGTCGCAAGAAAAATGTGAACGAATTTGTCGAATAAAGATAGCAATTATTTAGTGTCTGACTTCCAAGTATAGAGAATTGTACCTACTAATAACCAGAACTGTCTTTGTGCAAGATTTCAGAAATTACATACCTTGCAAAGTTAATATCTTGTTCACACGACAGTTCTGCTAATAGCTATACGTGTACAATGCATATAGTTAACACGCGATTCGTTTCAACAGGTGCGACCCAACAGTACAATGGTGGCAGGGTAGCGTCTTCTACGAGATCTTCCCAGCCTCCTTCCAAGACTCGTCCAAAGGTGGTGACGGTATCGGCGACATACGAGGCATCACCATGCGCCTGGACTATTTAAAGGAATTAGGTATTCGGGGGATTCGTTTGAACTCCATTTTCCCAGCGGTGCATTACCCGGAATACTACTCGAACATCGACAACCTGACAGACTTGAACGAACACCTGGGAACGTTGGACGATTTCGCCATACTGGTTCGAGAGGTTCATCGCAGAAACATGAGCCTACTCTTGGATCTACCTCTGTATCCCTTTATAAAGACATTGTTCGAGGATGATATCCCTGAAAACAAGTCAAACAAGACGAACAAAGCGTTACGAGAGAGGAGGGATGTTACCGATGACACTCTGCTGCAGAAGGTGGTGCCGACGACACCCTCCTCGTCGATTCAGGCGATTCAACAGGCTATGTTCCCGACAGCCCCCCCTCTGGAGCAGTCGCAGCAACAAGCTCTTCTGTCGAATGCAGTGAAACCTATGACGGAGGATCCGATTACCACCGCGATCAGGATCTGGTTACAGAGGGGCGTCGATGGGTTCTATCTGAAAGGACTCGAGCACTACGTCGACGAAGAATCCTTCGCGAGCAATGTAAGGCATTGGAAGTCCATTTTGGGACCAGAAAGGATACTCATTTGTCACGTAGACGCACTGAACGCTGCGAAATCCGTCGCTGCAAAAAACTCCATTTTGAATAGGGTGGATCTGGTAGACGTTACGTTGCGCATCGCGAACGGAACCAAAGAGATCAAGAGACAGATCGAGGACATCACGAGAGGTTTGTTGTTCGAGAAACCCGGGTATCCTTGGATACATTGGTCCATAGGCGGAGTGGACTTCGCGAGGATAGCCTCTACCGTTAACGTCAAGAACGCCACCATGGCTACTACTTTGTTAGGGATGATGCTACCGGGAACGCCGAGTATATTTTACGGAGACGAGGTACACAGTTGGAATGTAACGCGAATGTACCTATAATCTTGAGGCACACTTGGATCTTGAGTACCACCGGAAGTACTGATTATTGTGTGCATTAGTCTTTAATGTACAGAATCAGTGGTTCAGGAAGGTGAGTCTAGGGCACGAGATAAGAAGAAAATATTGTATGAAGATACGTTGTCCAAAAAATTCTTTCACTGAATAAAAATTAATTCAGTCCAGCCTCTTTATAAATTATAATCGAACTGTATTTTCTACAGAATCAATTATAATCCCAAATTTTTATTGAAGTAGATTAACTGTTCGAATTATGCAGCTCATTCGATCTTCGAACTTAGCATACCTCCTAATTACACTTATCAATTTAATTAAAATAAAAAATGGTAGATTATGGTCTTAGAAAATCGAATGAGGGTTAAATAACAGCATGCATTGCATGCATTCAAAGTACATCTGGACACTCTATAATCATAGAATACTTTTTTCTTATTTTGTGATCTAGATTTACCTTTTCGATTAACATTTCTCTTGTGCCAAATATTTCACTTTTTACACATGATGTCTCAATACGTCTGACAGACGTTCATCACTAACAATTTTCAAGTCTTGTTTATATTTAGATAGGTATCGTGGACTGCGAATGCGAGGATCACAAAGACCTTGCCCACGTGCATAATGTGCCCCCTATGTACTGGGACAAGAACAATGAATCTGGCATTAAGTTTACGTCCCTTCCTACAGCGTGGCTTCCGGAAGCTACGAAACCTTTAGAGACGAGTCTGATCGGAACAATTGCTGCGATGGCGCATCTCCGATCGCAAACTACTCCGATTTATGTTAAAGCGGTGCTAAAACAGAACCAGGTGCTGGCGAACTGTGATATTAGGTAACTATTTTGATTTATACAGATTGAACTTAGGTTTAATTAAAAAAATAAACTCTCTGGATATTCTTTAAGTTTGTGTACATATGACTTTTTGATCCTCTCAAGAGTCTGCTTAATAAAATTTTTGTTAATGTTGCAGTTGATGATGTGTTAATTTATTTTTTTAAATGATGCAGTTCTTGAATGAAATTTACTGATTGATATCTTTTTTTGCAGATACGCAGAAGATGAAATCATCGTAATAGAACGATGGTATCCACGACGAAATTCGTACGTGTTTGTGGCGAATTTAGGCAACGAGACACAGACGAAGGATTTATCTTTCCTCTACTATGGCGGCCATGTCGTGGTTGGTCCGACGTACAGAATGAACCGAGAAGTCTATTTAAAACAGCTAGTTATACCTCCGGGCGAGGCACTCATCATAAAACTCGATAAATAAGATCTAATTCGAAATCAAAATGTTACGTACCATGTTCGTCTTTTTTAATTGATGTATTAACGTGAATTTGTGATATTTCATTTGGACGATATCGTTGCGAACGTTGTACAACGAATATTGAAATGCGAAAGTTCCTATTTATTGGAGATCAAGCGTGCTTGATCTGATGATGAATGGAAAAAAAAGAATCAAAATTTAGATTAACGATAAATGATATCGAAGAAGCACAACGAATGTTCGAGCATTTCACATTCCAGAAAAAAGGGCAGATCATTTCACGTTCGCTTGTGTTCATCTTTGACGATCAAATTCTAGAACGAGGCACTCGTCCTCCATTTTGTACGTCCTAATTGTTTTGATAATAAAACTCAATATATTTGCGGCTCTATTGAATCTGTTCACGATCGTACTTCGGTTTCGAGCTGTTTTACATTCGTGAAGTACAAGAAAATTTCTTTGTATCGAATAGATCTTTTTTTAAATCTCAGGTCGAATTTGAAAGTAACACGAAATATTTTTATAATATATTTTATCGCGTGTCATACGAACTGTTCGCAACGTACGTAATTTTCCCTTCTTTTATAGTAAATTTCGTACTGATCGAGCGATGTTTTATCGATGCGTGAATTAAATGGTGCTTATGTAAAATCAATATTTTTGTATTTTCATTCAATACACCATGACTCCATCACGTGTCCTTTTGACACACGTCTTTGTATTTTGCCTGTGATTTATTTGTAATATGTGTTCGTTCGAAATCAAAATATTCCAGGTACAAATTGTGTATACAGTAAACATTAATGCAGGATAAACAGTTTAATAAAAGTTATCAGTTATTGACTAAATAATCAACTATGTTATTGGCGTGTAATTAATTACCCAAGTCTATGTACGGGTAACTAGATCATCTCTAGATTTACTAGATTAAATTATTATTAATAACTGCTTTTCTAGAATGACTATACAAATTTATAATAAAAAGCACTTATTCGATATTGTAAAATATAAAAATAGTTAAAAGTTTAATTTTAGTGCCACATGTTTATAGCGCAGTCTGTAGATAATATACCGAACTAAATTAGTATAAGATTGTTAAATGTCCGTGGTTGAGAACCACTTGCACTTTTCTCGCAAGTGCTCGCATGCGGCAGTAGTTCATACATAAATGTTCTGTAAAACGGTAGACCTGCAGAAGTTTCTTCGAGCAACACCGCGGAGCCACAATCGGAGTTCTCAGTGACTCTCATGCTCTGAGGAAAGTCCCTGGACCCTCGGCAGAAAGTGTCGTAGTACAAAAGCTACTAGCCTGCCGCCATCTTCTCGATAAGGAAAGGAAGCTTCGGCTGATCTTCGAGTTGGGCGGTAGAGTATTGGTCAAAGCACAGTAATGTTGTCGAGACAAAATTCTTCTCTAACTCATACGAGTAGGGAGAAGAATTTGTCCAACCCAACAGGGCTTATAACGAGGAAACTTCATCTTTTCTTTTTTCCAATTTATATTTTCACATACACTTTGTTAAATGTTTATGAGTGGAGACCCACTCTAGAAATAATATTTTTCACCCACTATTCTTATGCATTATTTTCTACAGTTCTATAATTTTAACATTCCAATCCCACTATTAAAAAAATAATTTGACACCTGATTATAATTAACTGCTTAAAAATATGCCACAGCAGATTTATATTATACAAATGTTGACTGGTATGAAGGATATGTTCTTTGCTGTAGAATCTTTTATTGAAATTATATTTCTGTTACAAAAAATTATTACTATTCTTATCGTAGTAGATTAATAATAATTTGTAATACCTTTGAAAGCACCATACTTTCACGACAATTTCCCCAAAGACAGGAATCAGGAATATTTAAGAGAAGCTGTCAAGTTTCAAGATAGTAAAATTGGACGTAGAAAAAGAATTTCATTTAAATTAAAATTGTAGAGTTGAAGCATCATCAAGACAGTGCTTCGTTGTTCTTGTAAAAAAACTAGAACAAAAATTAACATGTTTTATCTTGATATGATTAAAACATTTCTTTACTCACCTTCTTTGCTGTTTCAAATAAGTTATTTGCCATTGTAGGACCTGTTTGTTGTACCATATTGTAAAAATATCCTTTCTTTTGCAATAGAATATAAGGATGATCAAATTCCTAAAAACAGATAATAGCAGAAAGAACATACAATTTTTTTAGGTACTTCAAATAGTAGTGAAATACTCCAAAGACTATGTTTTTACTCACCATTAAGTTACCTTGGTCCATCACAAGTATTTTATCACTATCCATAATGGTATTTAATCTATGCGCTATAGTGAAGACAGTACAATGCTTAAACTTCTTCCTAACAGTCTTTTGAATCATGGAATCAGTTTGCGAGTCAACATTGGCAGTGGCTTCATCGAGAACCATAATCTTATTATTCCTAACAAGTGCTCTAACAAGACACAATAATTGACGTTGTCCAACGCTAAAATTTGATCCCTCCTCGGCTACTTTGCTAGTTAAACCTGCTGGCATATCCGCGATAGTCTCCTTCAATTCTACTTCTTGCAACGCACTCCATAAATCGTTATCAGAATACTCATCAAAGGGATCCAAATTTCTTCGAAGACTACCACTAAACAGCACCGGTTCTTGGGGTATAATACTGATCTTTGAACGGAAGTCGTGCAACGCAACTGTGTCTGTGGGTATATTGTCTATGCTAATTTCTCCTTCTATGTATGCCAATCGAAAGAGAGCACTGATCAATGAGGTCTTCCCTGCACCGGTTCTCCCAACGACACCAATTTTCTCTTTGGATTTCACCACGAAGTTTATACCCTTCAACACGTAAGCACTCTTCGGTCCATACTTTAATCTGACATTTTTGAATTCCACCATGCCCGCAGTGGGCCACTCCTTGGGAGGTTTCTTTTCCGGTATACTGTCTAAGAAGGGTTCTTCCTCTAAATGACTGTACTCTAAAACTCTCTCGATGGAAGTCATGTGATTTTCTAACTCGGCAGTTTGCCTCATACCCCATTGCAAAATTTTAGTCACCGCGGTGATCTGCGTGATCACCAAACCTATGTCTCCGGCAATAGCGAGATCCTCGAATAATAAGAACGCGATTGTGATTATTCCTACATAGATCAGACAGAACCACTCTATATACAGACCGAAGGCTCGGGAAATGGTTATAAATATGAACCAGGTGGACGTGTGAAGGTCCTGATGATTGTCGAAATCTTTTGTGACTATTTCTTCAGCTTTGAACGCTCTGATTGTCGTGAGACCCTGCAGAGTTGCACCGACGTGATCAAACACTGGCGATCGTGCTGAAAAATGTTATAAAATATCTTAAGTATTAATTCAAAATATAAACTTTGATTTGTAAAACCTATGGTGATAGCTGATGGGATAGTTGATCGAAAGGGATGATCATTGACATAAAGCTGTAACAATATCTCATAGTTTGAAATTTCATACTGATCAACTATCCCAGCGACCTATTTTGCAAAGTTACTTACTTGTACCCTCCATACGTTTAACAGAACGACTAGTTGCAATATAAATAACTCGCATGTAGTAGAAAATGAGTAGAGCGACAAATGTCGGTATCAATAACCACGCGCTGACAGTACCCACAATTACTACAGTTCCGATAAACGTTAAGAACATAATTGTGACATCGAACGTCGTGAAAGGAAGCTTCTTATCGATAGCACCAATGTCTTTGGAAAACCTTCATGCACAAACAAAATGATTGATATTAGTTTATACATGCTGTATTCATTCATAAACTCTACTTAGAATTATGTAATTGTAATCATATATGTATTTTATGATAATAAAAACTTAAAAAGTATTTAATATTCATTCCTTCAATACCTGTTTAATATACGACCAGCAGGATTAGTGTTGAAAAAGTACATGGTAGCCCGAACAATACTACGAAACATCGCCGCGTGCAAATTTTTCGAGGCTCTCATGCAGACCCCATAGTACGTGAACGCTTCGACGATATAGACGCAGACGAAGCCGAACGTTAAGGCGCTGTAAATATAAATAATTCCATCGCGAGATAGTAAAGTATTCCATTGAAAAGCCATCGTACCATTTCCGATATTAACCCACGAGGCTACCTCGGTGTTCACCCAGAACGCGAGCAAGTAGTCAGCGCCGCTCGCCATTACTTGACTCAAAATAAACAGAACCACCATGAAAGCGAGCAGACACGGGTTTTTACTTGCTTTCCAGTAGGCTAAGAAAACGGCGGCGGAAATTTTCCCTACGGTTCTCGTTTCTGCCACCTCGACAGGTTCACTGCCTACTTCCGGTTCTTCCTCTTTCTTCGTCTCCTCGATCGTTTGCTTCTCCTCGGTTTCGGGTTCTTTGGTCTTGCTCTCTTCCACCTCTTTGAAGATCTTCATGAAGTCCAGACTCATCCTCTGAAGCTCCTCGAAGCTGCCCTTCGCTTGCACGGCACCGCCGTTGATCACGACGATCTGATCGGCGGGTTTCAAGTACTGGATCTGATGGGTGACTAGAATTCGAGTCTTGCCCTTGAGGAAACCGCAGATACACTCGTCCACGATGTGGCTACCCACGTGTCCG